GCCCAAGTATCTAAGCGTGTGATGCTACATGCTTATGCATGGGCAGCTAAATCACATTTTGTGACAGTGAATGCCAGTTTCTCCCACAGGTACTTTGAAAGGAGTCTCTCTTCTGTTGATTCCTTACTTTTACATCAATTGGGTTACTTGGAGAAGCTTTCTCCTTTCACTGTCATTAACCACCTAGCAGCACTAAACTCTTTGAAGCTGAGTTTCAGCTTTTTAACTTTGACATCTTTGTGGAATTCAACTGAAATCAAACAGAAGGTGTAAAAACAGATACAATTAGCCTGGTCACTTAAGTCTAATTTCCTTGGAAAATCAAATTGAAACTGCTTAGGAGTGCCTAGACCCAGACTTCGTGCATTGGCCCATAATTAAACATGTTTGTTATGAAGAAGGATGCAATATGTTTTTGAATGTTTTTAATTAGTATCTCTACAAAATAAACTGCTATAAATACATCTATACTGTCTACAGATTCTAGCCCTTTATCAACAGCATTAATGCTAGCACAATTAAAAACAGTTACCAAAGTACTGCATCTTTAAAGTTAAATTTGATTGCAATAAAAAAGTACTTTTAAAAGAATGAAGTAATGTTAATACCATCAGATTACTCTTAGAATAAAGTACCTGCTATAAGTGATGGCTTCTCTGTTAAGGTTTAAAAAAATGAAAAGAAAGAACTGCATCATGTAATTCTCCACATCTTCAAATGCAAACATGCAATTAAATCAATAATTACTCTTCACTGTGCTTTCCATTTGTCTCAGCTCTATAGCTTCCTTCAGTAATTCTAAATCTCATCTTACTCTACTTATCTTTTTGCATTCCCCTTTTCTCACGTAAGTTAATTATGTCCCATAAAATTAATTTGTCATTGTAGTACTTCTGTTCAGAAAAAAATACTAGTTTTGCTGACACTCATTCATACTGGGACAACTTTGTAAGACAGAAGGACACTAGATCACTACTTTCAGAAGCAATAAATGTTTTGGAGATGCAATGTGATGACTCCTTTCTGAAATGCATTTTTACACAGTATTTGTTTTTTCTCCTTAGGAAAAAAGGTAATTGTTCATGCTGCTACAAAGATCTGTTGTTAATTGCAAACACATGCACTGTCAGCATACCGATGTATTTTAAAAAAACAAATCAACCCGCAACAACAGGACTGAATTCCTATTCTATTATCCCCATCCTGAACAGCTATATAAAAAGGTCTTCCCAGTGGTCTAAGTGCATAGTTTTTGGGTTTGGTTTTTTTTTTTCAAATGCAAGTAAGTTGAAATTTCTAACATTGCCTGAAGTGGAGAAGGAAAAGAGAGTGATCTTCCTGTGATACAGGATACATGTTAGTTTGGAAGATGAAGGAAAAGTGGTGAACTAGTATTTTAAAATCTGCTTTGCATCTCTAGTTCAGATAGGCTTAAACAACTTGTTTCTTCTGCACATTTGTAATACAGCAAAAACTAACATAATCCAGCAAGATGTGACTGGCCAGCACAGTCAAGCAACCAAGAAATATTTTTAAATCTTTTAAGACTGACGTATACTCAAAAGTGGAATGCTGCACTTTCCTTACCTCCAACATCACCTGATTTCTTCCTCCTGTTTGAAATTTCCTTTTCCTACACTTTGGCTTTAAAAAAATTTAGACAGTGAAAAAGAGCTTTCAGTACTTCTCAGCTATGAGCTGATTTTTTTATTTCTCTGTGTCTCACGTGTACATTCCTTCTTTCATTTATTATCTTAATATTTACATTAACTCAATCACAATTTCTCAAAGAAGCCAAGAGACAGGTTGCCATTAACTTTCATCTTGCTTTTTGACAGGTCTCCATTACCATATGGAAAAAAGAAGCGTTTATAAAAGTAGTTGACTCAAGCCCTCACACAAAAAGACTATCCCCAGAGACTGTAAATCCCATTGTACTGTAACTGGCTACTTACACTGGCTACAACACTCAATTTAACAATTTCCATCCTATGACACTGAAAAAAGTGACATATAGGTAATAAATATTACTTTTTCCACCCCATTCCCCAACTAGTTCACCTCAAGTAGCAAATTTTATACAGCGGTTAAAACAGGAAAAAAAGAAGGAAAAAAATAATTAAACAACCCATTGCAAAACTGTGGACTTTAGTTAAGACTAAAATAATTCCTTGAATTATTAGGTTCTTAAACATCTACGGAATTTATGCTTTAAATATACTCAAAACATGCTATGATACCTTCCAACTTCAAATTGAGGATGAGACAAAGTATCCCAAAGAACACAGCACCTGAAATTAGGATAAAAATTGCCTGCTCAGTTAAACTTAAAGGTCAAGCATGACTACATAGGTAAGTACTTCATCCAAGCAACTTCAAACCAATACAAAACAAAAATCCCTTCCTATTTCAATGCAGCATCTATAGGAAGTCAGACCATTTACTTAAATACTTGCAGTTGACAACAGCGATAAGAAACCTCTTTAAACACCTTCTATAAAACTTGCTTTTATTTACAAACATTAAGAAGATTTAGAGGCCTTTTTGGACATTCTGTCCATATATGAGTTACAGATTTTCACACACATCACACTTACAGGGAATCACAGAATCACAGAATGGTAGGGGTTGGAATGGACTTCTGCAGGTCATCTAGTCCAACCCCCCTGCCAAAGCAGGTTCACTCAGAGCAAGTTGCACAGGACCGCACCTAGGCAGGTTTTGAACATCTCCAAAGATGGAGACTCCATGACCTCCCTGGGCAGCCTGTTCCAGTGCTCTGTCACCCTCAGAGTAAAGAAGTTTTTTCTCATGTTTAAGTGGATCCTCCTGTGTTCCAGCTTGTGCCCACTGCCCCTTGTCCTATCACTGGCCACCACTGAAAAGAGTCTGTCCCCATCCTCTTGACAGCTACCCTTTAGATACTTATAAGTCTTCTCTTTTCTAGGCTAAAAAGAGACACTCAGCGCAGAACCATCTGCTCTCTGTTACAAAAACATTAAATGAAGATATTAATCAGCCAGAGAATTCCAGGGCCCACAGAGGAGAAAACCTGACCTGGTCAAAGCACAAACTGAATACAAAACAAACAAACAAAAACAAATAAATTGGTCAGAGGGAAACATTTTTTTCAGGGAAAACAAGGCATGCCATGGAGTGGATGAACATACTGAAATGTGGAGGAGTAAGCTGGACAACTTCTGTACCGTCACTAGACACACCTTTGCAGTGCAATTATGACAGCAGAATCACAATTCCTCTGTTTATCACTGTTGTTAATTGTTTTTCACTATAGGCTCAAGAACCTTTAATGAAAGGCAATTACAAGATTTATAGTAATTTGCATTATATTCATCACCTAAATGAAAGACTAAAATGCAGTTTTCTCCTAAAAAGTGTCTGGAGTTACATGCGGTTATTTTCTCTACGTGTAAGCAAAACTGACTTTGCTTTCTAAATGCCATGGAAGCTGAATTTGCCAAATTGTGTTCTTATCACTTAGCACTTTTTTACCTTTATTAAAGAAGAACAAGATCAAATTCTGCATCTCTCCAACAACTGTAAAATAGCATTATAATCCTCTGAATCTGGGCAGCACAGCTATCATCAAGTACATAATTTAGCCAGAATAGGGTGTTATGGGAACATAGCCAGCTCAGTTCTCAGAGACCAGAATAAGAAAAACTTTGCTGTTTATTAAGTCTTCATATTTTGTTCTTAATAGGAAGAAAAGGCAGAAAAAAATCCCCTAAAACTCAGTAAGAGGCAGTGCAAATGTACTGCTTCAAATAGATTCTGGTTATAATAAGTTTTCTTCAGAATATATACATCTGAATTAGGATTTAGTATATTCATATTCACACTGCTGTTTCTGTAACTGCCACCTTCTTAAGGATCTAAAGGCACTTTACAAACAACTTATTAACCTCCAGAATATTTTTCTTATGGAAAAAGGAATTATCTTAATACCTCAGCTCTCTGAAGTCCAAAATTTGTTTTTGCTGACACCATCTGTTCTTTTGTCACAAAAAATAGAAGAATTTTAATTTCCTGTCCTTTATTTTAAACAACATTTTCTATCCCTCTTCTCTATAACCCCAAGGAGAATAAATAGCACAAACCCAATTCAATAATAAAGAATCTGATCATAATTTTGTTTTTTGTATTGTTCATATGCAATTGGCTATCAACTGTATTTTCATTGTACAGTACTTCAGCTAATAAACCCACAAATTATTCCTGCCTTGATACTTTCTTCACAGTCTTCCCTATCTTACACTAAAATTCAGCCAACTGGAAATTCTTTCTTAATTTAAATAAATATCACCCAATAATTTGCTTACATATTCCTCACGATACTTTAGCAACTGATGCAACAAATAGATGCAAAGGATACAACTGATTTAACTGAAGCATATTTTTTGTGTAGTTCTATCATCATAAGCACTGAAACAAAAAAATGTTTATATAACATACGTCAAAACTAAAAAACAGTTGGAGAAGACATTCTACATATTCAAATTATTTAGAATACATAAAGGATGTTACCAAATCCATAAAAGGGCTCTAAGTGGTATGTTTCAAAGCATACTAGCATCAAGCAGATCTGATGTTTTCCTCAATAGACCCAAAATTCCTTGTTCTGCATGCAGCTCTATTGACAAACCAGGCAGTCTCTGTTTGCATATTCTTGTCATGCACAATCTAACTCTACAACTGAGATTCCAAAAAAAAATTTTTTTTTTTTTTTTGGTACTTATTACCAGCTTGCAACTTTGAAAATTCTCCCGTCCTAGCCAGCTGCATTGCATCCCCACTCACCCTGCCCCTCTTTCCACTATGAACTCCGTGTTCTGTAGAATAGGACACTGGGGCACCAAACTCCCCACAAGACATATGAATTTTTAAGGTTCTGCCTGTGGAAGATTATGACTCAAATAATTTGTACAGAAACTGAAATTTCATGGGCTGAAACTAGAATTTTCTTTCTACTGGCTTACCTCATTCTCTTTGGATGTGTACTGTATCTTGAGAGTATCCATGGCTCTAATCATGGCTTGCATGGCAGTAAATATGTTTTGGAAAACCAGTTTTGTGAAGCCTTTCCTGTCTTCTTCTGAGTAACCTGTTCCATGAATAATCCTCATTTGTTTAATGAATGTACTCTTGCCACTTTCTCCTGTGCCTGGGAAAGAGGAGAGAGACAAAAAGTATTTATATTTGCAAATATTGGCAATTGAGAATATTTGTAAATACACATACAAGGAGTTACACCTCTGAGCATGCATAAGTGTCATCATTAGCTATAGTACCATTTCTGAATTTTCCATTCTCCATAATCTTTATTGTTTTAGTCAAAATATTTGCATTGCTGGGTTTGTGGGGGAAGAGGGTGGTAAAAGATAAATATGTATCTTTTCATAATACATCCTGCAATGTTTAATCTCAGCATCCTGTAGGTAGAAGTCAGATTACAAAACAAGCAAGGTATGTGAGTACAAAAGAAAGAAATTTTGTACGTGTAAGGATCAAATTCCTCAACACTGAGAACTTTGCACAAAGTTTATGCATCATTTACAGTTTACAAATAAAGCCTGCACTCAGCCTGAACTTGGGGAATAATTTTATCATTAGGCCACATTACTTAGTTTCACTTTTCTACTGATTCTCATATAAATACTGATTGAAAACATGTTAACTAAAATAATGAAAAATGCATTCATTACTGTCAGCTACTTTGGGAATTATTTTATTCTATTTTTAAAAACCCTAACAAACAGATATTAAAAGGCATATATGAACTTACATCATGCATATAACATTTTGCATGTGCATACTGCTTTAAGCCCATTTATAGGACATAATAATGTATTTCCTAACATTTTTCAAGATGTAAGCCTTGTTCCTCTGTTGTTTCCTACTAGCCTTACAACAAGAGAAGAGTAAAAAGAAGGGCCACAATATATGACGCTTCATTCACAAAACCCTCCCTGCCTCTTAAAAGTTAGGACTTAGAAGTTCATTAGCTGAGTGCTACCTATTTGGTAGCCCTACTGTATCTCTCAAGTACTTGGTCAGGTCTCTTCTTAAAGCCACAGAAACTTTTTTCACCCTCAACACATTTTAGTAAGGAGTTTCAGAGCTTTATCACCCATGACACGTCATTTGTTCTGAGCCTGGATCCACCAGCTTAATTTCTGTTTCTTGTATTCAATAAATCTACCCGCCTGTCTCTCCACACACTCTTGATCTTACACACCTCTATCATATTATATTGGGATTGCATGGCAAGGTTTTGGTAAGCAGGAGAGCTGCAGAGGTGGCTTCTGTGAGAAGATGCCAGAAGCTTCCCCCACATAAGACAGAGCCAGTTTCACCAGCTCCAAGAGGGACATCTGCCGCTGGCCAAAGCTGAGCCCATCAGCAATGTTGGTATTGCCTCTGTGATAACATATTTAAGAAAGGGTAAGAAAAGCTGTGCAACAGCTGTGTGAGAAAGGAATGAGAAAATGTGAGAGAAACAGCCCTGCAGACACCAAGGTCAGTGAAGGAGGAGAGGATGAGGCGCTCCAGGCATATTTCTTCTGTACTTCAGAGCAGAGATTCCCCTGTAGCCCATGGAGAAAATAATGGCTGAGCAGGTTGTCATCCTGCAGCTCATGGAGGGCCACAGTGGAGCAGATATCCACACTGCAGCACATGGAGGACCCCATGTCGGAGCAGGTACATATGCCCTGAGGGAAGCTTCAGCTCATGGAGAGCCCATGCAGATTCAGGCTCCCAGCGAGACCTGTGGCCTGTGGGGGACCCACGCTGGAGCAGTCTGTTCCTGAAGGACTTGCACACCAAGAAAGGGACCCATGCTTGAGCAGTCTCTTCCTGAAGGACTTGCACACCATGGAAGGGACCCATGCTGGAGCAGTTTTTGAACTGCAGCCCATGGAAAGGACTGCTGTTGGAGAAGTTTGCAAAGGACTATTCTGTGAGAGGGATCCCAGGCTGAAGCAAGGGAAGACTGTGAGTAGGGAGGAGCAACAGAGATAAAGTGTTATGATCTGACCACAACCCCAAACCCTGTGCCCCTGTGCTGCTCAAGGGGAGGAAGTAGAAAAGTCAGGAGTGAAGCTCAGCCTGGGAAGAAGGAAGGGGTAGAGGGAAGGTGTTTAAAGATTTGTTCTTATTTCTGTTATTAATTGGCAATAAATTAATTAATTTCCCTAAGCCAAGTCTCATTTGCCCATGATGGTAATGGGTAAGTGATCTCCCTGTCCTTATCTTGACCCATTAATTTTTTCATCATACTTTCTCCTCTGTCCTGTTGAAAAGAGGGGAGTGATAGAGCAGGTACCTGGAGGTCAGCCAAGGTCAACCCACCACACATATTCACCTTCAGCCATACTTTTTCAAGGTTGAAGAGTCCTAACCAAGTCAGTTCAGTTCTCAGGTGGAAGATACTCCATTGTTGCTTGGTCATCCCTTTGACCCTCGTTGAAGCCTTCTCAGTTCTGTCTACCTCTGAGATATACCTAGCACACCAAAACTTCAAATATTAAGGTGCTGCCAAAACTTAGATTTATGAAGTGGCATCATTGTGTTATCTGTACTGTAAGTAATAAAAAAGTGAGGCAGTGCCTGTGTTGTATAGTTGTTATCTATCTGCATTACTTTATATTGGTCTACAATTAACTTTACATGCCATTTCACTGCCTATACTTGTGATATTCTTCTGCAATTTTCAGTCATGCTTACAAACTTTACTGAGCAGAAAATTTTCTCTTTTAATTGCTCAACCTCTCTCCCACCATATCTTTCAATTTATTTATATTTCCAGTATTCAGCGTCCGTGTGATGTGACTGAACAAATTCATTGCTGTTCCACAGATCTTTTATATGAGAGGGTCATAGATAGCTTTTTCTTGTTCTTCCCCAACTGAAAAATGGTTCAGGACCAAAAATACCTGTTATACTTTCTTCTTAAAACCTTCACTTTAATTTTTCAGAGTTTAACAATGAACTCCATTGTAGTTGAGCTATAGGATTTGCTTCACTTCTCCACTAAGAATTTACTGCTGATTTTATACTTAGTACCATTGGGTGTCAAAAATGTATCAGTGCAAAGAGGAAAAAATTCCTCTGAACATTACATCTTCAGATATAACAAAGCAGAAAAATACTCTGAGCACCCATCTCATCATACTGTATTCTCAGTACCGCAGCAGACCATAGCATCACTTTAATGAAAGACCATGCAATGACAGATCTCCAACCATTAACAGTAATAGCAAGTAAAACCCAGGTAACCTAGGAAAGTGTAATAAGTTATATATTACTCATATACCATAGCCATTTTTCTGAAACATTTATTACTATCATCAGTTCTTACTCTATGACCTTCTTTCCTATTTTTCATAATCCATTGTGGACTTCCTTTCAGAGCTGTAGCTGTCCCTTATTCAAAGCCATGTTGTTTCAACAGTTCTTCTCTAGGACATTGCTAGCAACTCTCCAGGTAACAGGACCTCTCCAGATAACAGCACTCATCAGAAGAAGAATGAAGCAACTTTTTAATCAAGCAATAAGAAATATCTAATATTTTTGTCTGTAAAAAAAAAGATTAATATAGTGGTTCTTTCAACAAATGTTCAGGATTTCTTTAATTTTTGGTATTGTATTGGTTTTCTTGAGAGAGATGGAGCACTGAGATATGCTGAATACATGCAAAACAAATTCCTGGAGGAATGCTGATGTTACATTATATACCACAGCCATCAGAAAGGCAGTCCTGGCATGACAGCTTTAAGAAGTCAACATAAATACAATTCTAATGCAATTCAGTTCAAAAACAAAACAAAACAAAACTAAACCCCAACACCAACTTATTTCACTGCCAGTGTAACTCTCATATTTGGGAGGAAAGCAGTGTGATTAATCCAAGTTGAATTGCTGGCCTAAATTTTTATATAACTCAGAACAAACAGTCCTATCACATTACAGCAGTGCCTTCTACTAATGTTTGAGTTAAAAAAAACCCAAACCATTGTGCAGCTGTTAATGTCACTATTAGGGATATGTAACAATGCTGTGAAATTAAGTTTAAAAAAATCTAATTTCAGCTTTTAAAGAAAATGCTTTTTTCCAAGCCCCACAAACACCAAAGGCAGATGGAGCCAGGTTTGAAGAGATCATCATCTGTAAACCAAGACAGAGTTCCCTGCATGTATACAATTTAATTTTTAAAGAAATTTAAGATTAATGTTTTATTATTATCTGATTTGATCTAATCTGTATCAACCTACAGTAAACAAAAATTGCCTATTCAAGTGATTTATAAAGTGTTATTAAATACACTGTTAATAAACAGAGCCATCCTGCTTTACCCCTTGACCTCTGATAATCCTGAACACAAGTTGATTAAAAGCTTTGTGCTCCCTACCCTGACTTTAACGAGAGTGCACAATCTTCCTTCTGTATTCTTCCTTCTAGCAACCCCTTACTTGCCTTGCTGTGCATCTTGTCATAAACACAGAATACAGGGTCTCTTTGCAAATCCAACAATATATGTTCCTTGTTTCTCCACTCCCACAAGCTAGCTAAAAAATCTTCAGGTCTCATTAGCTTAAAATGAAACAAGACTTTTGAAGCACATCTTGACAAAGCATCATTTTAAAGGATGTTAAAAAGTGGCTGGACTTTCAAAAAGAGTTTGAATATGGAGTAGTCATGCCAAGATGCATACTTGTGAGATATGAAGCTAAAGATAACTGCATTTCAGGATGCAACTGCATATACAATCAGATTTGGATTATCTTTTAAATTAAAACAGTTGGAAAATAAATAGAGACACATAAATTGGAAATTGTGTTTTAAGACTTCAGGTGGTGTTCCCTAAGAAAGTGGAATACAGTTTTTACATTAGGAATAATAAAAATGGTAATAGGGTAACTAAAAGCAGGTAGTAAAGAAAGGGTAGACAATAGAACAATAAAATATTGAGGTATTATATACCTTTGAGGTATATTATATACCTTGGAGGCATATAATCTCATTTTAATGTCATCCATTCTAGAAGCATTAGAGAATGGGGGGCTTTAAAATGTGGTTCTATACCTCCAAGGCGTTGGAATTCTGTTATTACAAGCAAGTTTTAAAAGGTTGTTTGTGTAAAAAAAAACCAAACTAAACCAAAAAAAACCCCAAACTCAAAAAACCCAGGCAAAGTGTATTTTATTCCTCAGGGACATTTGTGGTAAAGCACTTGCCAGAATGCATTTAGTGCATTTATCTTCAGGAAATGATCATTACTGACAAAACACAGAAGACATATTCTACTGACTAGGTCAAGAGACAGAATATTCTTAAAAGATGAGATACAAATACATTAGTTAATGTCACATATTCATCCTCCTTCCAGTCATTTTTAGTATTCATATTTTTTCCTCTGCTTCCAGCTACTGACTGCCACATGGCTAAGTCTTACCTATCCAAATCCACTTTCTCAATGAAAAGAAATTTTGGAATTTTGAGTTAATTCAAAGAATAAAACATTTTATCTGTTTTGGCCATTGTCTCTTTTGTCCTTAACTCCTTCTTTGCCTGTCAGCTTTATTTTCCAAGTCTAAGATCTGAATTCTTTATAGAGGAAGCAAGTTATTAAAAACAATCAAACAAACAAACAAAAAGACAGTACCCCCAACAACACAACTCTACGCTTTCATTCTCCTAAGGACTTTGTGTGTGCAACTTAATTACATCAATGAGCAGACTATGAATACAGACACAACAAAACTAGAGGGCTTTGGACAGGGCAAAGCTAACTAACTAGTTTTACTAATCCTACCACTATTAAGAACAACAGAACAGAGGCTTTGGTAGATGAGACAAAGCCTACTGTAAATCCTGGATCCACACTTGAGCAGTTCAAATGACTGAGATCTGGGTTGTTCTTCACCATTATCAGCCCTCAGATGGCAACGATACCTTGATCTACAGTATAGACCTGCCCATGCACTTACTTCCACTTGCCATACCTGAATAGACATAGGTCAGCTAGTAAGCAAATACATTTCATCTGTTGCTGCACGACAACAGGTTTCACCCTTGTTCAGGCAGCTGTGTCTCACTCAAGAGCTGTGGTGCTGGTAAGGGCCAAGTCACTTGACGTCTGCATGAGCAAGCCCCCTGGTCCCAGCAGAAGCCAGAGAAGCTCATATTACCTTCCCAAATGTCCCTGTTGTCAAGCTTGATAAACATGATGAAGTCAATACGCCACAAGTAGAACAAAAAGGTAAGGTACGGGGTCATAAAAGTAAGGTTCATTGTCATCTTTAGACCAGAATCCAGTATTAAACCTCTTCTCCAGTTATTAGTAGCCATTGGAAAAGGCTCCCTGACAGAATCACGTTTATAGCTATAGCTGACCTATCAGCTCTGCAAAACTCAGTAGCCTCAAGCCTCTCCTCTCAAGCCTCTATGACAGGCCACATTCCTGCCTCTGTTTAGAGAAAAATATGGGCAGAAATAATTATGAGAATAAAGATACCAACATTTAGTAATTAAATTAGGAGATTTAGTGCTTGCATTAAAAACTAAACTATATTTGAACAGGATCTGCAACATTTTGTATTGCAATTGTTAGGCTTGTCCAACTGACAGAAGGAAACATCTCTGTAACTGTAGGATTAACAGTTTGATACAGAACTAAATGGTGCTAGTGCATAAATGTGGACATAACAAAAATGGCTTTCAAGTAAATAAACTTGACTTACTGAAAATGTATAAGGTTAGAGCACCAAAAACGTTTTTAAAACAACAGAGGCAGAATTAGATTCTTTTAATTTAAAGGAGGAGACCTGAAGCAGGAGAAAGGACATTTTTCAGGTTTATCAGAAAGGAAAACCCTTGGAGTTCTTCAACAGTCTTGGAGGATTACTCTGCCCATTCTGTTAACTACTTTCATGGAGGTAACATATTAAATGCTGAAACTGGCTTCACAATGTAATGCACATAGTTACATGAAAACAAAGCCACAACCATTTCCACTACCATGCAGCAGGGACAAGACAGTATTTTTAATGACCTAGGGAAAAGCCAAAGCAGATTTCATCTCTACGATTCATACACAGTTAGTTCTTGTTTTCCAATAGGAATGTAACTCAAAAATAAAATGTGTTTTCACTTCTGTTGTCCATTTACCAATGAGCATTCCTGGTATCTTTGCCAGACAATATTTTTAAGTATTATCTGTCACTTTTTACTAACCAACAATACAAAAAAACCCGCCTCTCCCATTATACATTTAGTATAAAGAAACAAATTTGTCAGAGGAAGGTGGGGACCAACCACAAAAACAACCCCCCAAAACACGGCAGCCATTTCAGATACTCCATTCATATTGTGTAGGACTCAGAAAAATTTTCCACATCTGTTACCAGGGAAACAGCTCTCATTCATTCTTAAATCCCACATGCTACAAGCACATTCTGGCGGCTTTTCTCCTGCTGATGACAGGGAATTTGACTAAGAATAATAAGAGTTTTGCAATTTCCAAAGTTGAATTAGCAGAGAGAGAGGCTCCAAACATATTTTAATAATCACCATCAAAAGCTCTGTAGAGGAAGAAAACGATATACTTTTTTAAAAAATTATTTGTTAGTACATGTGGGCTAGTGCTACACATGTAGCTGAATGTCTGCTTCTGCATTGGCACCACTTATTTGACACCTACATAACTCACTAATTCAATGTTATTTCTGCTAGCAAGTATAAAGGTGGAAATGTCAATGTATCTGCAAAGCCATTAAATTACAGGATTCTTAGAAAACAAAAAAAAGTTTAAATACATACAATTTTAGTGAGGAACAATTATATAAAGCAAAAGTTTCATAGCTCATTCTGGTCTTTTGTGCTATAAAAGTGTAGGATAAAGTTAGTTTTCACTCCACTATTCTAAGTCATTCCAAACATCTTGAAGGAAAGCATCAGAGCAAAATCAGCTCTGGAACCAAAACCTACAATCTCTGGGCAAATCCTCCAAGGTTTTGCACATGGGATATGAGGCTTTGTAAAAACAGACAAAAGCTACTGCCCCCTGCAGAAAAAGTGTCTGCTATTGTTTAAAATATTAATACTAAACATATTATTAAAGTAACTTTATTAAAAAAATAGAAAAGGAGATCACAAACGATGAAGGCATCCGTGTGCATGTTCGCACGTGTGCGTGTGTGTATCCTATAAAGCTGACAGTAGCAGGTGGGCAGGCTTTTAACAGGAAACAACTTTTCAGGAACTCAATGATTCTGTGATTACTTCCTCTCTTGTACTGGGGAGCCCAGAACTGGACTCAGCACTCCAGCTGTGGCCTCATCAGTGCTGAGGGGAGGGGAAAGCTCACCTCCCTGAAGCTGCTGGCAGCACTCCTCCTAACGCAGCCAGGGTACAGTTAGCCCTTGTTGCTGCAATGGTGCATTGCTGGCTCGTGTTCAACTTGCTGTTCACCTGGACCCCCAAGTTCTTTCTGCAAAGCTGCTTTCAAGCCAGTCAGCCCACAGTAAGTGGTGCCTGGGGTTGCTTCTCCCCAGGTGCAGGACTTTGCACTTCCCTTTGTTTAACAGCATGAGGTTCCCATCAGCCCATTTCTCCAGCCTGTTGAAGTCCTGGAGGTATGGAAGGAACACGACCTTCTGGTTTATCAGCCACTTCTCCTAGTTTTGGTGTCACCTTGACAGTTTTCACCCTGACAGTCAGTCAGTTTTCAGTCCACCTCACTGCCTGCTCATCCAGTCCATACTTTATCAGCTTCTCTGTGAGGAACTTATGGCAGACAGTGTCAAAAACCTCACTGAAATCTAGACAGACAACATCCACTGCTCACTCTTCATCTACCAGGCAAGTCACTTCATCATAGAAGGTTATTAGGTTGGTTGAGCATGAGTTTACCTTGGTTGATCTTCTTTTCCTTAATGTGCAAATGTCCAGAATTAGCTGCTCCATCACCTCCCCAGGGATTAAGGGGAGGCTGACTGTCCTGCAGTTCTCTTGGTCCTTGCCTTTCTTGAAGATGGGGGTGACATTTGCTTCCTTCCAGTCCTCAGGCCCTTCTCCCAGTTGTCCTGACTGATCAAAGATTATTGAGAGTGGCCTCACAATGGCCTTAGCCAGGTCCCTCAGTACTCGTGGGTGCCCCACCAGGGCCCATGGACTTATGTATGCGTGGTTTGCTTAACTATTCATGTATCTGATCCTCTTCCACCAATGGTATGTCTTCCTTGCTCCACACTTTCTGTCTGGTCTCTGGGTCTTAGATTTTTTTAAAGACTTTTCTGATGTCTTTACTAGTAAAGACTGAAGCAAAGAAGGCATTCAGTACCTCAGCCTTTTCCATGTCCTTTGTCACCAGGGTCCCTGCCCCATTCAGCAAGGGGTCCACATTTTCCCTAATCTTCCTTTTGCTATTTAAGTACTTAGAAAAACCCTTATTGCTGTCTTTGACATCCATCATTAGACCCAACTCCACTTGGGCTTTGACTTTCCTAACCTCATCCCTGTATTCTCAGACAGCATCTTTATATACCTCCCCAGTTACCTGTCCCTGCTTCCACCATCTACGTGCATTCTTTTTATATTTGAGTTTTGCCAGAAGCATCTTGTCCATCCATGCAGGCCTTCCAGCTTGTTGCTTGACTTCCTGCTTGTTGGGTTGGACTGCTCTTGAGCTGGAAGGAGGAGATCCTTGAGTATCAACCAGTTTTCTTGTATCCCTCTTCCCTTCAGGACCTTATCCCATGTCACTCTTTCAAGCAGTCACTGAAGAGGCCAAAGTCTGTTCTCCTGATGTCCAGGGTTGTGATCTTGATTTTTGCCCTGCTCCCTCCACTCAAGATACTCCGCTCAACGGTCACTGCAGGCAAGGCTGCCTTCCACCTCTGCATCGCCAACATGTCCTTCCTTGTTTGTGAGTATGAGGTCCAGTAGGGCACTTATCTTTGTTGGTTCCACTATCACTTGGGTCAGGAAGTTGTCACCAATGCTCTGCAGAAATCTCCTAGATTGCTTGTGCTTGTGCTGTGTTGTCCCTCCAGCTGGTATCGGGATGTCTGAGGTCCCAGACATGCAAACATGAGGCTACTTCTAGCTGTCCAGCTGTCATCTAATCATTCTCTCCTTGGATAATGTTTTCATATCAGTAAGACAATTCATGTTATTGTACTTTTAATAAATCAAACTCAAGGTATATATTTACATAGGAGATGCTACACAAGGCATACAACTCATTTACACAGAATGAGGGACAAAAGTTTTTCAGTGATAGAGAACTGAGAGCCAGGCTCTAGAAAATATCTGCAGCAGCTGAAACGTTTCAACAAGATAAATGTGTAAAGCTTCTTATCATACAAGGACATAATTTAAAACCTTTCAGCTCAGTTCTTTCTCCTGCACCAACATTACTCAGTAGTAACTTATTCAAGTCAGCTAATTCTCTGAAAAATATTATCATACCAAGGCTGCAAATGCACCTACCAGCTTTCTATAGGATTGGATTCCTAAGCAGTTCCCTCAGCTGAGCTCCTTTCCCTTTCAAGTAAGACAGAATCATCTGTCCCTTTCCTTACTTTTCATCCTGAACTTAAAAACTCCTTTAAAATCCAAATTCACTGGTTGTCCTGGTTTTCAACTGAGACAGAGCTACATTTCATTTTAGTAGCTAGAACAGCATTGTGTTTTGGTTTCAGTATGGGATTTGTTATGAGAAGAATGTTGACAACATAACAATGTTTTCAGTTGTTGCTGGAAGTCAAAGGACTTCATGTTTTGCTAGTCTAAAAGTATAAGGTCTAGGGTGGGCAAATAATATTAAAATTAATAAGCTAGATTGGCATTTGAATATTACAATGGGATACTCCATATCATATAATGTCAAGTTCAGTGTAGTAATGAGGGTCCCTCTCTTGTGAGGGTTCACTCTCTCTCTGGCTCTTGCTTGTGCTCTCACTCTTCCAGGATTGCAGTTTCAGTTTAGGTATTGTTGGTCCTCCAGATCATTATCCAAGAATGGACTGGGCTTGGAGAGTGGGTTGTGAGCAACTGCACTGTGTATCACTCATTTGCATATTTTAATTATCAATATTATTTTCATATCAATATTATTTTAAATTGTATTTTATTTCAATTATTAAATTGTTCTTATCTCAACCTAGGACTCTCCTTACCCTTACCCTTCCAATTCTCTCCCCCACCTCCTGTGAGGGGGCAGGGGGTGGGCGAGTAGCTGTGTTTGGCTGCTAGCCAAGTGCTAGCCAAGCGAAACCACCACACTGGTTTAGCTA